CCGGGAAATATAGAATGTTACTTAGGCCTAATAATTAATAAGCAGTATTAAGTTTTTTTTTTTTTCAAAAGCTGTGTCATGCTTCTACTGTAAGAAACAGATTACAAAATGTTAACTATGTTTTAGAGGTGTTTTTTTTACTATTATGTTTATCTGTGCATACTGAATTTAGAAAAGATTATTCATTGGTTATGAATTTGGAAAATTTGGAATATTTTCTAAACCTTGTTATTGTTGATATTGCTGTAAGAATTAATTAGAGATTAATATTAGAATATATGGTGATATATTTAATGTGCTTACAGAGGCCTGTAGGTCACATGATGTAGCTCTTGGGTTTTTCTTTATATCTCTGAGCATTAAATGGTCTGATCTCCGACTGAATTTGCTGGAATGCCCACTATGTGGCAACTGTCTTGAAAGCTCTCCATTTGTAAACAATCTTTCTCTTCTACTGTAGAATTCTTTGGAGATGGCCTTATAACCCTTCCCAGATTGATAAGCAGCAACAGTTGCTTCTCTGAGGTCATAGCTGATGTCCTTTCTTTTTGGATTTTTCTTTTTCTTATAGACAAACACCTGAATGCCCCAGAACAACAAACTGCCAAAAATTCTACTTTTCTAGAGAAAGTCGCACTTCTTGATTGACTAATGATTGACTAATCTTGTGCATTTCATTAGTAACACCTGGCTGCTAATTATTCTCTCAATAATTGTGGAAGTAGGAAGGGTGTACATATTTTTTCCCACCTGGTTTCTGAATGTTGATTTACATTTTGGGGAAAAATGACTACATATTGAAATCTGTTTTGTTGTAGTCGTTGTTGTTGCTGTCACCTGAAGTTATTTGTTTGTTTATAGAAGTTGGTGAGGACCACACAATGGTTATTTAGGCCTTGATAAATAAAGACATAGAACTGTAGGAGATTGTACTTTCTATTTCAAAACGGAAATACGCCATAGCCCTGCGTGCAAGTAGTCCGTTTGATCAAAAGCAACTTTAATGAATGAACATGAGCCATTGTGTTGAAGCGTGTGTTCACCACAAGGTGGCAGCAGTGAGGCAAAACCCCAGCGCTCCATTACAGCAGGGGGCGATGTGCACCATTATAGACCAGTCTGCCTTTCTTTAGTGCAAGAGAAGAATGCTCGCTTCACATGGCAGGTCTCGGGTCGGAAAACATTGGGGTTTTTTTGGAAGTATAAACTAATACTTTATTAGATAAGCGAGACAAACCGTGTGGGTTTAATGTGTTGGTGCGTTGAAGTTTTGCACCCGTGACGCTGTGCTAAGTCACATAGCAAGCTAATGCACTCACTACTACCAGCTTTCTAAACAAAATGAAAGCGGAATGCAGTCAGGAGTTGGCTTAATGTAAAGAAACAAAAAAAAAAAAAGATGAAGAACAGAAGTAGTGGCTACATAGACCAGCGACTCAAACAGAGAGTTGAACAGGTGAGCTGGTAAATGTTCATATTAATTTCACCAAGTCAGAGTTTTAGAGGCTTCATAAAGTATAATGTTATATAGTGCCATATTCTATACTATATAATGTGTGTGGCGGCCTGGGAAAACCCTTCAGCTAGTCACATGTCAACTAACAGACACACACACACACACACACAAATATGTATGTGTATGTACAGTATCTCACAAAAGTGAGTACACCCCTCACATTTCAGCAACCATTTTAGTATATCTTCTCAACGGACAATACTATAGAAATGAGATTTGGATATATTTTAGAGTAGTCAATGTGCTGCTTGTATAGCAGTATAGATTTACTGTCCTCTGAATTTAACTTAACATACAGCCATTATTGTCAAAATAGCTGGCAACAAAAGTGAGTACACCCTAAGTGATAACAGCTGTACGTCGTTTAACCATACAAGCCACATGTCCTATTCATCATGTTCATGTTTTTGTCTGCTTGACAGGACCATACAAATTTGTGTATCTTGTATTAGAATTGTATTAAAATTTGGTGCAATTCTCTCATACTGTCCACTGCATGCTGAACATGGCGCCTCGTGGCAAAGAACTCTCTGAGGATTTGAGAATTAGGATTGTTGCTCTCCACAAAGATGGCCTAGGCTATAAGAAGATTGGTAACACCCTGAAACTGAGTTACAGTACAGTGGCCAGGGTCATACAGAGGTTTTCCAAGGCGGGTTCCACTCGGAACAGGCCTCGGAACCTATGGAAAATGATCCCGGGAAGGACAACCAGTGAACTGGCGACAGGGTCATGAGTTCTAAGTTGTAAAGTTCTGACATTTTAATGTCTGGTTAGCCTCAAAAGTGAAAAGGGAGAAAATTACATTTAAAGAGTTTATCCCCGCTTTAACAGCTTAAAAAACAGCATTAATGCCAAATTTTAAAGAATATAAATTTACAACAGGAAATGAGCTATCACCGTGATTACCATGAGTCTGTCTGCCAAAAGTCTCTGGCAGCATTTACACACGATCCTGTTCGTCGTCTCTTCATTCAGCTGATCTTTGTTCAGTGGGGAAATAATCACTGAATATTTCAGTCAGTTCTGTTCTGTTGAAGTGTCTTGTTAGAAAGCTGTGTCCGCTGTGCAGTGTGTGTAAGCACTGTTCTCTGTATCGATGATGATGGTGGAGCATCACGGACGTTTTGACAGCCAGTGTCTGATTACAGACCCTTCTCTTTGGCCTGTACCTGTCCAACAACTTGATCAAAGCCTGACGTTCATTGCGTTAGAATAAGCACATTTAGCCAGCAGGCTTTTAGACATTCAGCCTGGCTGGTTTTGAACCGTTAAACTTCCTGGCGTGATTTTTGCAGGCAGTAAGCCAGTGCAAGGATAGAACATAACGTAACATAAATAATGTTTCAGTGTTTTCTCATAATAGAGACATCAAAGTATATTATTGGCAGAAAAACCTGGCGACGTGCAACAGGTTTCACGAACCGCAACACGCAAAATAAACAACGCTTAATATTGAGCTGTTTGAGAATTGTAATGCTGGTGTTGGAAACCTGCAAAATGACTGTAATTAAAGAAGACACAGGCTATTCTGGAGTAATTTTCTGAGCTACTGTCTGCTAGAACTTATGAACAGATATGGTACAATTCTGTATTTTAATTTCTACAGTACCTGAAATCCAACAACAGTCAGTATGTTGATGTTGCCGAAATGGCCACAGACCTTCAGCGACAGTACAGGTGAGGTACAATACATCGTTTTTATTATTACACCCTAAAAGTGTACTAAGAATGACTCACTTGTACTGTGAATGTTTCTTTGTACAGGCTAGATTATGGCCGAAGGAACAAAACCGCTTTTAGGATACAAGTGGAAAAAGGTGAATCCAATCCCGCCTTTCAAGTGGAATCATTTGAGCATAAAATCATCAGGAATAGTTACACGACACATTCAAAGAGAATTCATTCATGTTCGTCATGCTATGCTTGCATACAAAATAATAAGTGAAACGTTATGAAACATGCAAACGTGCTTGAAGAGAAGAGAATAAGTGCGAAGGCCACCGAAAGCGTCGGCTTTTAGCAGGAAGTCTTAGGTTGGATGATGGGCAAATAAGTGGGGGGTCATGACCTTAGATGCTTATCTACTAATTTTAGTTAATACATTAATTTACATATAAACCAATAATAGTATGTAAAACGGTGACTAGAGAATGATGAACAATTCTTTTCATTTTATTGTTTGCTTATTTTTCCTGTCCGTTCAATTTAAGTAGTTTAATTTAATCTCATTTTATAAAGTATTTGACGATGAGTTAATGTTAAAAATTAAATACAATTTGCAAATTAGTTTCTTTGCCATAAATAAGTAGTTCAGCAGTGCTTAGTTTCTATTGCCTTAATTTCTAAGGCAAAAGTATTAATATCTGAAGTTGCTTAGCTATTACAGAAAATATCTCCTCACTGCTGTACTGTCTGTCTTTTATAACACGTTTTTTTAATATATGTTTTTTTTTTTTTAGTGCACAGGGTAATATGTAATGAGTCTGGGCTCTCAGCACTGGAAGATAAACACTTGGCTAAAAGAGCAAGACGCAGTAAAGAGGATGATGGGTAAGAGCTGTCAGCCACAGATGGTCGTAAACAGAACACAGGCTGATTTTGGGAAAATGAATGACTTTATTACTAATCAGTGTTGAAATACTCTGTACTCTGGAATTTCTTCATGTCTGTACATCTTGAAAACTGTTCATTCGGACTTTTGAGACCAACCTTAGAAGATGGAAATATCCATCCAATGTACACTGCCCTCCAAAAGTTTGGAAACGCCTGAACAAAATAGGGTTTTTGGGCAATATCAGCATAAATCCTCTTTAGTTAGTGACCATTTTGCATTGATAATAAGGGACAACACTAGGCATCCGAGCAGTCAGTTTATTCAAACATTGACTTGATATATTACTCCAAGCCTCCTGGAGGATTGCCCAAAGATG